TCGCTGCTCAGCCATCTGCCGCTCCGACGTATTCGCGACAACGTGTTGCTCCACCGCTGCCTCGAAGCGGCCACTGTGGTTTGGTTTCCTCTTTGCGACGGTTGGGGTGGAGACCTGCCGCATACTGCTCGTCGCCACCTTCCCGACTTCGGATCTCCCTCAGCCGCCGCCGAGCATTGGTCGGCTTTGCCACTGTTATAGGTAACCAGTTTGCAATCACCTGTTGAATAGTAGTCGAGTAAGCTCGTTATACAAGAGTAAACAGCAAGTACAGACAGTAACCTACATTCTTAATATTTCTCCAATCGACTAATTTCATTTAAATGCGACATGGAAAGAAAGCATAAAATCTTGTGTAAATTGTTTGTATCTTAGTTATTTTCGATTCCTGCCACAGTTCTTTATCTGATCTATACAAAGTTGATTTGATCTTTTAGATTAGTTTAACTCTGGAATTTACTTTATTTGCGAGAGTAGTGATAGAGAATTCTATACATTGTAGTTTCTCGTTATTCTTTTTATATGATTAATGCTTTCACACTTTTTCTTATAATTATTCTTTGTAGGGGAAGAGAATGGTGGGGCTGTCGGAGGGAGAGAAGCGCTTCATACGGGGCGGGATTGCACAGGATCTCCGCACCGATGGCCGCCAAAGACTCCACTACCGGCCCATATCTGTTGAAACAGGGGTCATTCCTCAGGTGAAAAGTTGCTGTTTTGTTTGAATAAGTATCATTTTTTATTCCTTTTGTTCCTTCCGTTTAGTAAGGAATATTTTAATCTCATATTTAATGTCAAATTCTGCAGGCAAATGGTTCTGCTCGAGTTAGATTGGGTGCAACCGATGTGATTGTAAGCATCAAGGTGCATTATCTGCTTATCTCATAGTTAACTTTAAAGTACTGTGTTAAGAGTAGGAGCCTGAAGTTTGTTTTCTCCCTTTCCTAGATCAAAATCTCAGAACTAATAGGTTAAGATTTCTTGAGATCATCAATCATGGCACCCTATTCTTATAGTAGGTTATCTTTTGTGAATTTGTGCACTACTTGTGCATCTATTTTTCTCTCTTGGTTGATGCAGGCAGAATTAGGGAAGCCACACCCTCTTCAACCCGACAAAGGGAAAGTTGCCATTTTCATTGACTGCAGCCCAACAGCAGCACCCATGTTTGAGGTTTGTGGGTTTTTTTTATATAATGTCAAATATGTTCTTTTGTGCAAATTACCTCCTAGAAAATTTATGTCTGTGACAAGAAAACTACTTACAAAATAACTGGCAAAATAGAATGCAGTTTTGCATTAGGCTTTTTAGTACAATTACATGACATGTTTCGCAAGACACCAAAATGATAATGGATGCATACCAAATGAGATAGATGGAAGCTCTTAATGAAGTAAGTGCAGTCATTTGGGGAAAAAAGAAGAGAGAAGCTATATACTGAGTGTAGGTTCGAAGGAGAGAATTTTGTCAGAGAAAAGCAGCGAATGATTAGATGACTTAATGGAAACTTGATAGATAAATTGAATATGTTTGGACAGACGGATAATGTTTATATTTGAACACTTGTGTGCCCTAAACTCATAACAAAGAATAGAGCAACTTTTAAAGTTTATATTTGAAACTAACAGATGATCAAGTGTCTGTCTATACTTGCATTAAGCTGCACTAAATGGAAGACATTGAATTCATCTAAATTTAAAAACATTAAGTTTTCCTTATACGAGAAGTAAATGTAGCCATTTGGAACAAATGTAAGATTTCAACTCCTGAGTTGAAAATTTATTATTGTCATAAATTTATTTATGTTAGAAACTCTGATGTCAACCTGTTTATTGAAAATATTCAGGGAAGGGGAGGTGAAGAACTGTCTACAGAGCTCTCATTTGCTCTCCAGAGATGCCTACTAGGTGGAAGGAGTGGAGCAGGTATTCATACTCTAAAAATGTTGAATATTGATTATCATAACTTGATTCCCAACTTTTCAGAACCTCTCTCATTGGCTATTAAAATCCCCACAATCAAGTGCATTCAAGATACACTAGAAAACTTTTATGAAAATGAGAAGATCATGTCGTTGGCTTTCTTTTTGCTGCTGATGTTTCAGAAGTGTATGTCAGGGGCTGGAATTGACCTCTCATCACTAGTCATTGTTGAGGGCAAGGTATGCTGGGATTTGTACATTGATGGACTTGTTGTGAGTTCAGATGGAAACCTACTTGATGCATTGGCTGCTGCTATCAAGGTAATAATTGTTCTTGGTAGAAGAAAAGTCAGCACCATGTATCTTTCTGTGACTACTAACATTTTGTTTGTGCTAACAAATTAATTTGTTATCTAATCTGAAGAGATAGGAGTTTTCTGATTGCATCACAAAGTCATACATTGTGCTGATTTTCTTATGTGACTAATTGGGAAGCATGAATATATTTCTGTGGCTTCTAGGATTTTTTTTATGCCTAGTTGTAGTCATTGCTTTCTCTGAAGACTCAGTCTATTAGCTTACTACTCTCTGAGCATTATTCTATCCTTTCCTATTTTCTCAATAGTGCATTAAAAGAGTCTGACAGAACTCTTTAATAGACTTGTACTCTTACTGAAGAAGAGGATTTTTTCAGGAGGCTGAAGATAAACTCCTGCTGATCTCAAGCAAAGCATTCATTTTATGTATACACTTCAATTTATTATACATGAAATGCTTTATCTCCAATATCTTTTTAAGACCAAAGTTCGTTTTGAAGTGTTAAGGAAGTTGATTTTGTGCATTTCGTATTAGTTATCTCTCAACTTTTTAAAGAATACAGTAACTAACTGTTTTGTTAAAAAAAACCTAACTATTTTGTCATTACATGTTTTGTTGGTTTTAAATGACAAGAATCTCAGTAGTTAATTACTTCAATTCTTACAAGTTCATGTTGCTAACCATTCTAATTTAGTTTGAGCTCAGAAATCAGGAATCTACTAGTCTCAACAACATACAAAATTTTGCATAAAAGAGAGTAGTAATGAGTTTAGAATGGAATGATCTCATAATCACAAAGTGGCTTTAAACTGTATATTCATTAAATGATTTCCGGCTGACTTTATGTGCTTCACCTCGTTGTGAACTCTGTTTATTGTTATCTTAAGCTACGGATCATTGTTGCCCACTAAATGAGTATGAAAGATGATATTTAATTTTGGTGGTGATGATCCAATACGTAAAATTACGAACCCCACTTTACAAGGCTTCTGCTAATACAAGGTCTAGGGAGAATCAACTTGAATGGCCTTACCTTTATAAGCAGAGGGACTGTTTCTGTGGTTCGAATTTTAGTGACCCAAGTTGCAAAGAAACACTCTTTTGATTATGCCAAAGCTTGCTGTCTAATTAACGATGAACTAAATAAGATCCTTTGATCTAAACTATAAAATGGTGCAAAGTTATTGATGTCTTCTCGAAAGTTTCATGGAGCAGCAATTCTCATTGTATACTTTCTTGCCAGGTAGCTTTGAGCAATACAGGCATTCCAAAGGTCACCGTCAATCTTGGAGCTTCACCTAATGACCAACCAGATGTCGACGTCAGTGATGAAGAGTTCTTGCAGTTTGACACTAGTGGAGTCCCCGTCGTAGTGACTTTAACTAAGGTAAGAGAAATTGTTGCTATGGTTACCACTCTAGTGCACTGATTTCGTCTTTCATTTTTACAATTAAGAAAACAACATCCTTGTTGCCTGGATCCACATGTATGGACTTAAATAACCTGGCTACCAACCATCAAACATGCAACAAATTGCTTGCAAGCTACTATGTCAAAACTAGTGTTTCATGTTGCATTGGTCATATATATAACAGTCAATGTTTTGTCAGGTCAGCAGGCACTACATTGTAGATGCAACCTCGGAAGAGGAGTCTCAAATGAGCTCTGCGGTGTCTATTTCCGTGAATCGGCATGGCCACATCTGTGGGTTGACGAAACGAGGGGGTGCAGGCTTAGACCCCAGTGTTATTCTTGACATGATATCGGTAGCAAAGCATGTCGGGGAGCAGCTGATGTCGTTACTGGATTCAGAGATTGCTGCTGCAGAAGCATCCGCTGAGGACCAGTAATTTGCTTTCTCCTCCCAACAGAAGAGAGCCTAACAAATGTTTGGTCACTTTCCTTCTGGCAGATCAATTTTCGAGTGTCAGTGGAAATGTTGGGGGAAGATGCAACTTCTGTCATGATATCAAAGCTATTTACTCCTTAAGATTCCTAAACTTGCTGCAAAATGGTTCCTAATTTGAGACCGTAAGCTCTTACTATCCCCATCAAGTGATGTTGTGCGGAGATTTTGCTTGAATACGATTTTTAACTGGAAGCAAGAAGAATCGCTTTGATAACTCTCATATGCTGTTTGCTTCGAAATAACTGTACATATCTTTGGAAATTGTGTATGAAATCAGTGATGTGATGTCAGGACAATGCAACAGCAATGAAATATGAATGTGGATGAAATCAAACGTTGACTCGAAATAAATAAATAGAGACATGCATAAATAATTAGATATTTCACGTAATCATGAGGTGAGGTGGGAGGCTCAGCCAATGGTTACAATGGCCAACCTGGCTCTTCTTCGGTGGGCCCACTTCGGTGCCATTTTGTGCTTAACCTTGTCAAGATACATCATAAGCTCTCACTCACTCACCATCCCCTCCTCCCCCCTTCTCATCCTTTCATCTCACAATCCATCTCGTCTGTGTGAGGCTGTACTCAAGCCAGCAATTGCAGCCTCACAAGTGCAGCAGCCGCTGCTACTCTCTCTCTCTCTCCCCCCTTGCAACGACCCGGCAGTGACCAAACGCATAACGCCGGATGCTCATTGGTCGATCGCAGGTGGGCCCCACAGGACCCACCGTGGCGAGTTAACTTCGGATTTGTGTTTTCGCTGCTTGGCCGCTCGGGCGAGACATGGGATGGAGCATCGAGTCGAGATCCAAAGATGCGACTCCAACTGGCCTTAAGGCGTTTGATGAAATGAAAGCGAAAACAGATATAATAATGGGGGAAAGAAACAACTACGGGACGCAGATAAACCCAACAAAAAGGACGGCGACAGCCCGGGCGGCCGCTAGCTGACGCTTACACCGATTTGACGCCATAACAACACCATCTCCTTCCTCTTCTTCCTCCTCCCCCTCCTCCTCTACATCGAAGAGATCCTCCTCCTGCCATCTCTTTTGCTTCTTCGTCCAATTGCTTTCCGTTCCATATAAGATTTGGCTCTCGTGATGCTTCGGAGCGTGCAGCGTCGGCCCTCCATCAAGGCCAACGCCATGAGACCCAAGCGCCCCGAACGCGACCCTTCCTCCTCCTCTGCTGGCGGCTCCACCGCAGCTCCCGGCCACGCGACCCCTGGGTGCGGCGACGTCGAGGACGAGGACCGCGCTCGCAAGAAGCGCAACCAACACCAGCCTGAGATGGAGATCGTCGTGGCCGAGGAGGAGCACGTGGAGGCGGAGGGCCGGGGAGCTGAGTCGCGGGGCCTCCGGCTACTCGGCCTCCTTCTCCGCTGCGCTGAGGCGGTGGCCGCGGACCAGCTCGCGGAGGCCCGGGACCTGCTCCCGGAGATCTCGGAGCTGGCGTCCCCCTTCGGCTCCTCCCCCGAGCGCGTCGCGGCCTACTTCGCTGACGCACTGCGCGCCCGCATCGTGAGCTCCTTCCTGGGCGCTTACTCTCCGCTTGCTGCCGTGGCCGCCACCCAGCGACGCATCTCGCACGCCTTCAACTCCTACAACGCCATCTCCCCCCTCGTCAAGTTCTCCCACTTCACCGCCAACCAGGCCATCTTCGAGGCCCTCGACGGCGAGGACTGCGTCCATGTCGTGGACCTCGACATCATGCAGGGCCTCCAATGGCCGGGCCTCTTCCACATACTCGCCTCCCGCCCCGCCAAGCTCCGCTCCCTCCGCCTCACCGGCGTCGGTTCCTCCATCGAGCTACTCGAGGCCACCGGCCGCCGCCTCTCCGACTTCGCGGAGGCGCTCGGCCTCCCCTTCGAGTTCCACCCCTTGGAGGGCAAGATCGGGCACCTCGCCGACCCGGCCCCCCTTCTCGCCCCGCGCCACCCTCGCGAGGCCACCGTCGTCCACTGGATGCACCACTGCCTCTACGACGTCACCGGCTCCGACGCCGGCACGGTGCGCCTGCTCCAGGCGCTCCGCCCCAAGCTGATCACCATCGTCGAGCAGGACCTCAGCCACGCGGGCGGCTTCCTGGGCCGCTTCGTCGAGGCGCTGCACTACTACTCCGCGCTCTTCGACGCTCTCGGCGACGGCGCCGGCGCCGACAGCGAGGAGCGCCACGCCGTCGAGCGGCAGCTACTAGCCGCCGAGATCAAAAACATCGTGGCCGTGGGCGGCCCGAAGCGGACGGGGGAGGTGAAGGTGGAGAGGTGGGGGGAGGAGCTCAGCAAAGCGGGGTTCCGTCGGGTGTCGCTGGCAGGCAGCCCGGCGGCGCAGGCCAACCTGCTGCTGGGCATGTTTCCATGGAAGGGATACACTCTCGTGGAGGAGCACGGATGCTTGAAGCTGGGCTGGAAGGACTTGTCCTTGCTCACCGCATCCGCTTGGCAACCTGCCGCCGACGACCACGACGTGGAAGCCGACAGGATCCCTCACATTTCATAGAACCGTGAGCTTCTCTCGTCTAACAGTCACCATGTTGTTCCTCTTTATATTAGGATGTGGGAAGGGTGAAGCTTCTTGATGATGAGTGAGGGTGGAGTTGGCAATAATGGCAGATCGCCTCTGGGATCTGCCATTTCATCGTTCTGGCCGTGGAATATGTACAGTGGAATGTGGATGCTGCAGCAGCCTGCAAGTTCGTTCACTGGAGAAGTGAGTCTAAGGAGATGTGCTTCCTTCCTTCTTCATCCTCCTGCGGCCGTGGCAGCTGCGGAGATAGGAATGGGAACAGGACATGCATTATTCTGGAGTGCCACGACAAGACTCACAGAGAGGTACACAAAAGAAGGGTTGAAAGGAATAGCAACATGGCTTTGTCCTGAGATGGCCCAATCATGGCTGGAAACTGGCAAGACCACTGCCACTCTCTGGCGACGACTGTTGCAGCAATCACTGGACACGGGAATCTGCAATGGGATCCACTGTGGATATTGTTAGGCGTTGGCCTCTACGAATGCCCGGAGACAGTCTGAGAAGAAACATCGGAGTGCGAAAAATACAATACCACATTAAGTGCGGACAGACATTTCTTCTCAGCTCTGTAACACTTATTGCGCTGCATCTTTCTCCTCCTCCGTCTCCTTCTCCTTGAGTTCTTTCTCCCTCTCTCTCTCTCTCTCTCTCTCTCTCTCTCT